CACTGAGGGTTGCGATCCGTTGCTGGTCACGAAAAAAGACAAAAAGGAAAAAAAAAAAAGCACTGCAGGAAGCAAGAAGACCATAAAGTAATGCCTCCAAAATGCTGAAGTACAACAATTTCCAACCTAGAATTCTATACCCAGCTGAACTATTGAGTCAAGTGAGGGGGTAAAATAAAAAATAATTCAGACATACAGGGTCTCAAATTTACTGCCCATGCATCCTTTTTCAGGAAGCTGCTAAAGAATGTTCCACCAAAACAAAGGAGTAAATGGAGAAAGAAGATGAGATACAGACAATGGGTGTTCCAGTACAGGAGAGAATAGAAGGGAATCTCCCTAGAATGACAGTAAAAGGAGATCCCAGGATGGTGACTTAGTACCAGGTATAGAGAGTAACCGGTAGGCAGAGTAACAGCCTCCCAAAGACGTCCATGTCCTAATTCCAGGAACGTACAAATATGGTGTGCTACATGGCAAGGAGGAATTAAGGCTGCAGATGGAATTAAGGCTGCTGATCAATTTACCTTAAAATAGGGAAATTATCCTGGATTACTCAGATGTGCCCAACGTAATCACAAAGTTCCTTAAAAGATGGAAGGCAGAGGCAGAAGAGTCATTGCCACAGTGACGTGATGTGAGGAAGGCTCAACTGGCCACTTCTGGCTTTGAAAATGGAAGGGAACCATGAGCCAAGGAAAGCCAATAGCCTCTAAAAGCTGGAAAAGGCAAGAAAATGAATTCTCACTGTGATACTGTGAAAACAAATATTTGGTCTTCATCCCTGTCTCTGACATACAACTCCTGAAATCCTTAGAATCTCCAATGTGGTAAGAGTCTTCGTGTATGCCAGTGATGGCTGGCAGCCCCTAAGTAGCTTCAGGATGGGGGCCAGTCACAGGAAAGACCAAGGTGGGACTTTTAGTCCCACCTCTCAACCTACGGGAAGGGGAGAGGGGCTGAAGGTTAAGTTGATCACCAGTGGCCAGTCATTTAACCAAGCAACTTATGTAACAAGGCCTCCACAAAAAACCAAGAGGCCTGGGTTTGGAGAGCTTCTGGGTAGCTGAACGCATGGTGGGGCACCCGGGGAGGGCATGGAAGCTCCGCACCCCTTCCCCCACACCTCGCCCTATGCACCTCTTTATCTGCATCCTTTATAATATCTTTTATAATAAACCAGTAAACGTAGTACGTGTTTCCCTGAGTTCTGTGAGCCAATCAAGCAAACTAATCAAACCCCTTGGGTTGCGGGAATCCCAGCTTACAGCCAGTCAATCAGAAGTTCCAGAGGCCTGGGCTTGTGACTGGTACCTGAAGTGGGGGGTGGTCCTGAGGGACTGAGCACTACTGTGGGATCTGACACTGTCCCCAGGTAGATAGTGTTGGGATTGAATTAGAGGCCACCCTGCTGGTGTCCACTGGAGAACTGCTGGCTTGATGCCATGGGGAGAAGTCCCCACACAGTTGGTCACAGAAGCTGGTCTTCTGTGTTGAGATTGTGCTGTGAGAGCAGAGGAAAGGCAGGTGGTGTTTTTCCCACTCAAAACTCTCCCCTTAGAGCCTCTAGAAAATAATGCCGACACTTTGGTTTTAGCCCAGTGAGAACCATTTTGGATTTGTGACCTCCAGAACTGTAGATANGGGATTGAATTAGAGGCCACCCTGCTGGTGTCCACTGGAGAACTGCTGGCTTGATGCCATGAGGAGAAGTCCCCACACAGTTGGTCACAGAAGCTGGTCTTCTGTGTTGGTGATTGTGCTGTGAGAGCAGAGGAAAGGCAGGTGGTGTTTTTCCCACTCAAAACTCTCCCCTTAGAGCCTCTAGAAAATAATGCCAACACTTTGGTTTTAGCCCAGTGAGAACCATTTTGGATTTGTGACCTCCAGAACTGTAGATA